CTTCTTGTCTCTTTCGAATACTTCTTTTGATAGTGGTTTTGTGAAGATATCAACTGCTTGGTTTCTGCTTGCTACATGCCTTAGTTCCACGCTTCCCTCCTTCACATGTTCACGAATGAAGTCAAATCGAACGTCTATATGCTTGCTTCGTTCATGATTCACAGGGTTCTTTGCCAATTCAATAGCTGATTTATTGTCCACTTGTATTATTGTTGGACCTTCCTGTTTCAGCTCCATCTTGCTTATCAACCTTCTGAGCCATACTGCATGACAGACGCACCAGGATGCTGCCACATATTCTGCTTCACACGTTGAAAGTGTCACTATAGGCTGCTTCTTCGATAGCCAAGTGAAAGTTGTGTTTCCCATGAAAAACACATATCCTGCAGTGCTCTTTCGATCGTCAATGTCTCCACACCAGTCACTGTCAGAATAACCCACTAGCTTGTAGTCTTCTGTCTTTGAATAAAACATCCCAAGTGATACTGTTCCTTGGATGTATCTTAGAATTCGTTTCAGCGCCTTCCAATGTGTGTGTACTGGCTCCTCCATGAATCTGCTCACTATGCCAACACTTAGTGAAATATTTGGCCTTGTGCATGTGAGATATGGAAGACTACCTACCAAGCTTCGATATTTGCTTCCTTCGACCCATTCTCCTCCATCAAACTTCGACAGCTTTGTACCTGGCTCCATTGGCGTCAAAGTTGGATTGCAATTCTTCATTTTATATTTTTCTAGGATTTCCTTTGCATACTTTTCTTGTGATAGGAAGATTCCGGCTTCTTCTTGTCGAACCTCCAGACCAAGAAAAAATCTCATCAGACCTAAGTCTGTCATTTCGAATTCGCTTGTCATGGTGCCTTTGAAGTCTTCGATCATCTGAACATTACTGCCTAGAAAGATAAGATCATCAACATAAAGAGCAACAAGTAATAAATCATTTCCATTTTTCTTCACATAGAGGGCTGGTTCATAAGGACATTGCTCGAATCCATTCTCCTTAAAATATGTGTCAATACGTGTGTTCCATGCCCTAGGTGCTTGCTTCAGCCCATACAGTGATTTCTTCAGTTTCAGCACCTTCTTCTCTTCTCCAGTTCTCATATATCCAAGTGGTTGTTTGACATAGATTTCTTCTTCGAGCACAACATTCAAAAATGATGTCTTGACATTCATTTGAAATATTGGCCACTTGAACTGAGCAGCTTGAGAGATGAGTAATCGAATTGTCTCCATTCTTGCAACAGGCACGAACACTTCGTCATAGTCAATTCCTGCTTTCTGTTTGTATCCCTTCGCAACCAGCCTTGCTTTGAATCTTTCGATTTCTCCTTGAGCATTCATCTTCTTCTTAAATACCCACTTTACACCAATGGGTTGACTTCCTTTTGGTAATTTGACCAGCTCCCAAGTATTGTTGCGTTCGATTGCTCTAATCTCTTCGTCCATGGCGCTTTTCCACTTCTCATCTCTTAACGCTTCTTCAACACTGATGTTTTTAGCATCTGCTAGAAGGCACACAAGATGCACCTCACTTGTTGAATCATACAAATATTGCAAACTTCTCATTTTTGGTTGTAGAGGTTCATCCTCATCTTCTGTTTCTTCATGTTCTTCTGGAATACTTGTGGTACAGCTATAGTTGTTTCTTCGACTGTGTCAACAACCTCTGTCGAACTGTTCCAGTCCCACTTACTGGCTTCATTGAATCGAACGTCTCTGCTCACAATCACATTCTTTCTTATTGGATTGAAGAGCTTGTACCCTTTCGTCTTCTCATCATATCCAATGAGTATGTACTTCTGACTTTTGTCCTCAAGTTTTGTTCTTCGTTGATCTGGTACATGTGCATAAGCTATGCTACCAAATACCTTGAGGTGGGAGATTGTTGGCTTCAGTCCACTCCATGCTTCTTGTGGTGTTTTGTCTTCTAACTTCGAATGTGGACACCTATTCTGAATATAAACAGCACATTGTACTGCTTCTGCCCAGAACTCTTTCGACATGTTCTTGCTTTTGAGCATTGATCGAACCATGTCAAAGATAGTTCGATTCTTCCTTTCAGCCACACCATTTTGCTGAGGTGAATATGGTGCAGTTAGAAATCTCCTTATGCCATGTTCTTCACAGTACTTCACAAAGGCCATCGAAGTATACTCTCCTCCTCTGTCAGATCGAATTGCTTTGATGTGTCTGTCTGTTGCCTTCTCCAACATTACTTTGAATTTCTTGAATATTTCTAATGCTTCATATTTTTCTTTCAGGAAGTAGACCCAGGTTTTTCTTGAGAAGTCATCAATGAAGGAAATGAAGTATCTTTTTCCACCGAAGGATTCTGGAGTGATTGGCCCACATATGTCAGTATGTATTAATTTGAGTATCTATTTAGCTTGATAATCTGCCTTCTTTTGAAATGAAGTTCTTGTTTGTTTACTGAGCACACATTCTTCACAGAATTTTCCTTCGAACTCCATGTCTGGTAATCCATGCACCATGTTCCTTTTCGCCAACCTTCTCAGACCAACATGATGTAGATGACCAAAGCGCATGTGCCATAGTGACGCTTTGTCTTGCACTTCGATCTGCAGACATTTCTTTCGAATGTTCCTCAGGTTCAGTTTATACATTCGATTCCTTTCCATTTCGACAGCGGCAATCAGATATCCTGTTTTGTCCTTCAACTGAAGTGTTCGATCTTTCATCAGAATCGAAGCACCTTTTTCTGTGAGTTGTCCCAGACTTAATATGTTGGTCTTAAGATCTGGTACATAGTACACGTCTTCGATTGATCCAATCAAGCCATCCTTCTGAAAGTAGCTGATTGTGCCCTTTCCTACAACCTTCACTTTCGATGCATCTCCAAAAGACACACTACCATCTTCAATTCCCTTCATGTCTTTAAACAGGTGTTTGTAACCACACATGTGATTACTTGCTCCTGAGTCAAGATACCAAATATTGTCATTGGTGTTGATTTCGTTTTGAGCCATCAGAAGAAACCCTTCATTCGATTCAGCTTCCAAGGCTAGATTGGTTGTCTCTTCAGTCTTCTTTTCATTTCGACAATCTTTTGCAAGATGTCCCACTTTGTCACAGTTGTAACATTTGTAGGAGTTGCAATCCTTCACGTAATGACCATACTTCCCACACTTGTAGCATTCGAAATTGGAATAATTCGAACGACCACCTCTTTGACCACGTCCTCTGCCACGCCAATTTTGTTGACTCGAATTTCCTCTTTCGAAGTTGCTACCTCTACCACTTCGACCACTGTCACGACCTCCACGTCCACGTCCTCTTCATCGAAAGTTGTGAGAAAAGAGTACCTTTTCATCTTTGTTCGATTCTTTTGTTTGGTTTGCTTCTTCGTCTGCTTCTTCTTTCTTCTTCATCTTTCTTTGTTCATGTGCTTCGAGCGAACCAGTGAGCTCTTCGATTGAGAGCGTCGAAAGGTCCTTCGACTCTTCTATTGCACATACAAGATTTTCAAACTTGTCTGTTAAAGATCTTAAGATCTTTTCAACAACTCTTGCATCAGCTAGTGTCTCTCCATTTCTTGTGAGTTGATTCACCACCTTTTGCACACGAGTGATGTAATCAGATACATTTTCTGTATCCTTCATCTGTATCCTCTCCAATTCGCCATGAAGCGTTTGGAGTCGAACCTGCTTCACTCTATCTGCTCCTTTGAACATCTTTTCTAAAGTGTCTCACGCTTGTTTCGACGTAGTCGAACTAGCAATCTTCTCGAAGCATGATTCATCCACAGTCCTGAACAACATATATAATGTTGTTTTGTCTTTTGCTCGCATCTCTTTCAACGCCTTTGTTTGAGCTGCTGTAAATCCCCCAACTTCTGTTGGTTCTTCAAACCCATCATTGGTCACTTCCCACGCGTCTATAGATCCAAGAAGAGCTTTCATTTGGATACTCCAGTTTTCATAGTTTGACTTCGTTAGCCGTGGTAACGGCATTTGGTTCATCATGTTCGCCATGAGCTCTGATACCAAATTGTTATATTTTATGAATCAGACTTCTGTATATATTAACTTCTATATATTGCTCTTAACAAATAAATTACACACTTGGTCCTTTATAGACCCAAATAAAACTTTTACAATTCTAAACATAAATTCAAAACATAACTGCTACTATCATAACTAATAAAACTATTGCCCTTCCTACTACCATACTTAATACAAATCATTTATTTCAAACACATTTAATGTTTATTCAACATTTACATGCAATAAGTAATATTATCTAACTTTTGATTATACTCTTCTCTAAAGTTACAAAATATTTTAGCAACTGCTGCAAATGAACAAATGAATGATGAATGTTGGATGCATATAAGACGTCCTCTATTATATAACATCATAAAAATTGATTTAAAATAATGCTCATACTTTGATCCATTTGATCTGTATACTACATCTCATATTGAAAATTTTGGTAACGTTGATTACAAGAAACTCACATTCACATAATTTATAATAGAACACTTTATTACATAGAGATTAGAGAGGGACAAACAATTGTAATATAAGTGTTTTAATATAAGTGTATATGTTTTCAGTAAGTTAATTGTAGCAAAGTTTTATCCACCACTCCATAATGAATTAACCTCAAAAGATATCGAATCTCCTAGAGATTCAAGAGGTCATGGTACGCATACAGCATCAACGGTGACTCTGGAAATTCTGTTAGTATGGCAAGCATGTTAGGCCTTGCACAAGGAACTGTTAGAGGAGGAATTCCATCAGCACGCGTTGCTGTATATAAAGTGTGTTGGTTTGAAGGATGCAATGAAGCAGGTATTCTTGCTGCATTTGACGATGCAATTAAAGATGGAGTGGATATAATATCGGTGTCAATTGGTGGAAAAGATTCAACGAAGATAATACATTTTAAAGATGCATTTTCAGTTGGATCTTTTCATGCCATGAAGCACGTGAAAAATTATTCACGTGCTTCATGGCATGAAAAGATACGACTCACAATGCATCTTTAAAACATATTATCTTTGTTGAATCTTTTCCACCAATTGACACCGATATTATATCAACTCCATCTTTAATTGCATCGTCAAATGCAGCAAGAATACCTGCTTCATTGCATCCTTCAAACCAACACACTTTATATACAGCAACGCGTGCTGATGGAACTCCTCCTCGAGCGGTTCCTTGTGCAAGGCCTAACATGCTTGCCATACTAATCGAATTTCCAGCCACCGTTGATGTTGTATGCGTACCATGACCTCTTGAATCTCTAGAAGCTTCGATATCTTTTGAGGTTAGTTCATTATGGAGTGGTGGATAAAACTTTGCTCCAATTAACTTACTGAAAAAGATATATACTTATATTAACACACTTACTTATATTACAATTGTTTGTCCCTCTCTAATCTCTATGTAATAAAGTGTTCTATTTATAAATTATGTGAATGTGAGTTTCTTGTAATCAACGTTACCAAAAATTTCAATATGAGATGCAGCATACAAATCAAATGGATAATCAATTTTTACGATGTCATAAAATAGAGGACGTTTTATATGCATCCAACATCCATCATTCATTTGCAGCAGTTTCTAAAATATTTTGTAACTTTAGAGAAGAAGAGTATAATGAAAAGTTAGAGAATATTACTTGTTGCATGTAAAATTAGAAGCTTGGCATGAACCCTTCCATTTGGTAGGTGGTGGACTGAACCCTCTATCATTGAAACTTTTCGATTCTGGCCAAATTCTAGAATCAATCACTCCAACTATAACATCGCTTTCATGATTTTGTCTTTCTATTTGTTATGTAAAGGCAATAAAATCCCATGATCTTGTCGTGAGGAGTTGTCTCTTTTCATCTGGAAAAACAGAAACAACTCCAACAAGTCCTACATTACAATAATTTATAGTTAGCAACTTTATAAATTTTTTTAAAAAAATGCTAAGCAGTTATTCATTAAAAAATTAGCTTCTAAAACATACCTGCCATTCTATCAGCTTCTTTTTCTGTTAGCTTCACCACAGATCCGTTGAAACTACGCCAATAGTAATAAAGTATAGTTTTTGCTGTCGAGTTGCTAAAATTGTAGAAAAAAGAGTAAGTCAAAGAAGTTTTTTCTCTAGTTTATTTAAGTCACCAAAATTTTACACAGCTTTATTCATCTGTAATATAATATAATAATATTTTTTGTTACTATTTGATTGTCTAATTTTTGTAGCTAGTCTAGTGACTCATATGCATTCAATTACTACTTAAGGTATTTGACATGGTATTTTACATGGTTCCTAAATATTAATGGAACCAACTTTTAAATTTAAACTTATTTTAATGTTTGTGAAATTAAATAGGACCAAATTGACCTAATCATCAACAAAGAAATTTAAATAAAATGATCATGGTCTTGTGTCTAAAAGAAAAAATTTATGTAATAATTAATAGATGTTATAAGCTATAGCCTTTCTTAATATATGACTTATTATTTTGTTTTATAATAATTTCATAACATTTTTTTATAAGAAGAATAAAAACATATGACTATATATTGACTATGTTTTTATATAAAGAAAAATATGAACAATTAAAAAAATTAAAAAACATAAACATAAAATGAACGTCAAACTTTTAATTTTAGATAAATAAAAAATTAAATACATAAACTAAAGGGTTGAAATAAAAATTATTATAACTAAAGCTATATGTATAAATAGGACCATTCAAAAGCCTAACTTGAATTTATTCCAAACATGATATCAAGTCACAACATATTCACTAGTCTTTATTTTTTACAACATATTCACTCCTAACCTTATTTAATTTTCCACTATAAGTGGTTAAAATTTGAAAAAGTTATGTCACCTGTCTGTAGCCTGTTGTAGCAAATAATTATAATGGATTAAAGAAGCAGCTTCATCTTTGATGGTATCTCGGGTATAGACAATATAAATCTGCATTTTTAATTAAACAAATATATTTATTATAATAAAAACACTGCATTTGTTAGGGGAAAAGTATTTCTCAGGATGCTTTTTGTACTGGAAAACAAATAAGATGATATTTATTTACCTTAGTGTTAGCAGCTGAGTCACATAGGAATTCATCTACAGAAACAAATAGTAATAATTAGCAAAGGAATTTGAAAGTGACACTTTAAATAGAAAAGAAAGGATCGCGTGGAAATAATTAAAAAAAAACCATAGCCAGTTGAAACTCCCAACAAAAGCATGAAGAAGAAAAGGTATTGCAACATCTTTGATAAAATATGTTGAAGCATTTTTGTGATAAAGTTATGCTTTTGATGCTGCCATATATATAGAGAGAGTAGTGTAAAGATGTATTTCACTAACAATTAGCGCCATCAACTTATCAAAAGTAAAGTACAATAATGCAAACAAATTAGCATAGCTGTATGCATTATGGTGCAGAAGAGTTACTATTTTACATTACACTTTCATACATATTGCTTTTTGCATGGCTATCTATGTTTGGTTGGTGACTCACATATTCAAAAATGGATACAATAAGACTTGTTTTGTAGTAAATTTCAATATATGCGATACAAAGATAAAAGAGTGGTTTTGATATTCATTCATTTTTAAGAATTTTAAAATAATTAAAATAACATACAATTTCAGATATGTTTCTTATTTTGCTACACTATTAGTGACTTACGTATACTTAAATAAACAAATATTTTACATAAAATATCTCCACAATCAAATAAAAAAATTATAACAATTAAAATTTAGTAAAATGAATTTTTCATTTTAAATATTTTAAAAAATTTATTATCCATTAAATATCAAAGTAAAAATACTTATAATATTTTTTCATGAAAATCTTATTTAAATCAAGTTTTCTTTTAAATTTTTTTATTATCCCTATATATATCTTACATTCTTTCTCTGTTAATTGACACCAGTATCCATACTCTATTTTTATTTATTTTAATAGTAAACCAGGAACCATATATTATTATAAATAGAAACAAAAGTTATTGAAAATATAAAAGAAGTAGAGAGTATCATTAGTGCACAAGAGCAACAAATCAGTCTAATGTGTAGGTCGAAAAACTAACAACAAAGAAAAACTACATAACAACATGAAAAAGAAACACAAGACAACCAATTCTACAATCCAATCTATCATGAATATTCTGGTGCAATAGACTTCTAGATAGAGCGAGCTTGAGAGAAGTGGACACGACCACACACACAAAATAAAAGAAGAGCAACAAGTCATCCAACACACCTATAAATGCATAGCTATTTGAGCGGGTCCCGCACCCAATCAACTAGAAAAATGACAAAATATGAAATATGGGCATGAATCTACTTCTACGCCAAGATAATAATCGCAGAGATACAATGATTAATCGTCAAGTTTTTCTGATAAACAAATACTTTACTATGCATTTTCTAAATTATCTAGATCACTAAATGCCAAATCGAGACCAAACCTAAAGACACATGTTTCTCATGACCTATACTTTGAAACAACTCAAACACCCCTAAAATCAAAAGTGGTAGAGATCCAAGCCTCACCACCCACCTAAAAAACCTATTTCAAATAGATTTAGAAACTTCACACAATACAAAGAGATGGTGAGCCGACTCTGTAACACCCTCAATTAAACATGAGTTCAAAACCTCCCACGTGTTACATAGACCCGAGCAATGACTGGCTGCCTAGGAATAAACAGATAAATAAGGATTTATCTCTTCTGACTATTCCTGGCAGTATCACCGCTATCCTCGGTACCTGCGTGATGTCGCATAGAACATCATTACAACAAAAGGGTGAGAATTCACATCATTATTATATATATATATATATATATATATATATATATATATATATATATATATATATATATATATATATATACACTATACCAAATTTGGCTTTTAGCAGCACCCCTACGAAAGCGCTTTTAGGAAAAGCGCTGGCATAGGCTTCGCTAAAGACAAAATTAAAAAACACGCTAAAAAAGCGCTCTTATAGTGGGGGGGGTATGAAAGCGCTTTTAAAAAGCGCTCTGGTAAGGGGGGGTATGAGAGCGCTTTTGAAAAGCGCTTTGGTAAGGGGGGGTATGAGAGCGCTTTTGAAAAGCGCTTTGGTAAGGGGGTATGAGAGCGCTTTGGTAAGGGGGTATGAGAGCGCTTTTCAAAAGCGCTCTGGTAGGGGGTGGGGTACAAGAGCGCTTTACCCTTAAAAGCGCTGGTATAGCTACATCTACTAAGGCGCTTTTCAAAAGCGCTTTCATAGCCTTTTTAAAATTAAAATTTTTAAAAACAAAATTATACAAACCCCATCCGTCTTCTCACATCAACCTTCATTCCAAAGTCCAGACCTCAGTACTGTTACGAACTTCCATAACCTTCACTCCTGCCTCATCTCCATCCGTAAAACCCCATCCGCGACCGTTACTTCACTGCTGCCGCCATTCTTCTTCTATTTCCATTTGTTCAAAGCTCCGTCACTTGCCGTCACCGTCACTTGCCGTCACTTCCTCAGCCATCTCCGTCGCTCCTACTTCAAAGCTCTTTGTCAAGTCCAAACGTGGTTCCCTGTTATCATCATCAACAACATCCAACTTCCAATTTTCTACAAATTATCTTAGGTAACATTACTTGATTTTCATAGTTTTGTTGAATACTTGAGTAATTTCTGCATGCATATTATGTGTTTGTGATAATGTTTATGTGAATTTGTGATGTAGATTTTAACATAGATTTGTAGACATAACATTTGCACATTAGGTGTACGTAGAAATTCCTCATAGAATTGAATTGCTAATTCTTGACATAAGAACTAATTCTTGATATTGTGCTAATCTATTGACATAGAATCGTGATTACTAACTACTGTTGTGTTTGTTCTATGCTATTCACCTCAATGTGCACAATCATGTTTACTAATTTCTAGTAATGAAAATGATCTTTACAGTGTTCTTCACTATCCATTTCAATTGTTTTCAACAACAAACAAGCTAAAGCGCTCAAGATTTAAGGTATCACTATCTTTTGATGCTTCACTAAGTAAGTCATTTGTGATGGATGTCAAGGAAACTTGTGTATTTTTATACTCTTCATTCAACAGTTTCTTCAAACTAATGTCAAAGAAACTAATGTCATTGTTCTTGTTTACCCTAACCAATTGATATTTTCGCATTCCAGGAGAACAATTTCTTTCTCTCGTTCAATTGCTTAAGTAATCTCTCTCATTCAAGTAATCTCAATCCTCCAGAGGCCTTCACGAACTGGTTTTTAGAAGTCCATCTTCTTCATCTAACTTGCTTCCTTCCTCTTAAATCTTAAGTAAGATTTAACATTGTTTTTAAAAATTAATCTTGAAGTAATCTTGTGTTGTTGTAGGTTGGTGTTTTAGTTTGAAGTATAATATTGTGATAATGTGATAATGTGATAATGTGTTTTTGGTTTGTTTTATTAAGTTGATGTTCTGGTTTGAAGTATTGTGTTTGTATTGTGATAATGTGATAATTTTTTTTAGTTTGGTGCCTTAGAAGTTGAAATTTTGTAAACTTTAATTATTAGTTACATAAGACATTAATAGAAAAATGGTAGTGTTTATTTTTTAATTTGTTAGGAGTAGAAGGAATTTGTTTATATTAGAGGTGGTTATATTTTTAATGCGCTATAATGTAGTGGAATTGGAATTTAGAGAATTGGTACTTACTAATATGTGTAAGATTGGAACTTAGATAATTTTGAGATTTTGTTGTGTTGTGTTAATTTATTTAATTGATTATGCATCACAAAAGTGATAATGAAGAGTAGAAAAAATGATTCTTTTTTCAATAGGAAAGAAATAGATGAAGAGAACTTAACCCCTATTAGTAGTGGAAGTAATAGGATGGCCTTGAATCTGTGCAATTTAGGAATTCCAGTTATGAAAGTCATGGACATGCCTTCCAAAACAACATCAAGAATGGGGAGGGAATGTATTTGCTGTAGTAATGAAACTGTTATTTCCCACCCATAACAAACAATGTAGACTAAGGTTTATATATTTAAAGTTCCTTAAATAAGCTTATTGTTCTAATCTAAGGTTTATATTATTGTGTTTATGAAGTCTGTTTTGAACTTTGTGTGAGTTTTAATAGTTTTGTTCTTTGTGTGAAACTCGTCTCATTGGTTGAAGAATGTCGATGTTTATAAATTATCTTTAGTCCTGATTCTTAAGCAACATAATTTTTTGATTCAAGTGTTAGCATATGTTCGGCCTTTATGTATCATGTTCTTAATAGAATTTAAATAATTAAGATGATGACAAATAGGTGAAAGAAATACTCTATAAATTTGAAGTGAAAGTTAGGTTAGTGTGAAACATGTTGTTAGATTATGATGACAAATAGGTGAAATAAATACTAAATTTGAAGTGAAAGTTAGGTTAGAGTGAATCATATATCTTATATATTAAAGTTGTGAAGTCTATTAAATTATTTTGGAGTTAAAATTAAGGTTTTTTTTTAGTAATTTTATATATTTATTTTATTTTATTTTATTAGTTATTTATTAAAATTAATTTCCTCTCAGTAACTCTTTAATTTCGTTTATCGTTAAGTGAGGTACTTACTAACTTTGTGAATTGAATTCGCCATAGGGGTTACTTGTGAAGAGTGAAAGTTTGACCGTTTTTGTTTAGCTTAATTAAGACATGGATAAGACATGGATGAATTCAAACCGATTGTCGAAAGAGTACGAGAAAGGGGTATGGGAATTTGTTGAGTTTGCGGTTGCGCACTCCAAAGACCCGCTTCGAATGCCGTGTCCTTGCTTGGGTTGCTGTTATGCCGGGGGTAAGGTTGACGGGAATCAGTTGGGATCTCATTTACTACGGTTTGGAATTGATAGAAGTTATACATGTTGGACAATGCATGGTGAGAAAAGTACCGGGAATGCTGAGTCGAGTTGTAATAGGAAGTATGCTTCAAACGACGATTGCACAGACACATACGATTGTGATCGAGTCGAAGAGATTGCAGAAGCGCTTGAAGAAGATCTTGCGGATTGTCCCAAAATGTTTGAGAGGTTGGTAAGCGATGCAGAGAAACCGTTGTATGTTGGTTGTTCAAAATTCACAAGATTGTCTGCGGTGTTAAAGTTGTACAACTTAAAGGCGGACAATGGATGGTCGGATAAAAGTTTCACAGAGTTATTAGCCCTTATGAAAGATATGCTACCAGAGGATAATGTTCTTCCCAATCGAACGTATGAAGCCAAAAAGATGTTGTCTTCTATTGGAATGAGC